CCCTCCCTCCCTCCCTCCGTGAGATTGCCCCAAGGGTCTCAATTGGGCTAGCCTTGTCGCTTCGGTGTCACTCTCCGAAGGGTCGAGTTCTACAGCGCGTGTTCTTTGTGCTAGTCTTTGAGCGGCAGACCAGTCACCTCAGTAAGACCCCCGTCTTCGACAGACTGAGAGAAGAGGGGCACTGTGGCACAACAGCTCTGTGTGCTATGTAACAAGCACAAAAACTTCAGCTCAACATGGAACCAACTTCGCACCAGCCATGTATTCCGGGAACTAGAATTGGTCACCGTTCTTTGATTCATCTGCACAGTTAACCTCACCTGGTTGGGCCAACGCATTGGCCCGGTGCCCGGCTTCCATTTTGTCAGACTGGGCGGGGTAAGGATGGCTTTTGCCCAAGAGCGAAAGCTATGGGGTCTTAGCCACGTGTACCATGCAGGTCCCTCTTGGAAAAGGGACTTCTTTTTTTTTCTTGTTTCTTGTGCAACCATGTGCAACCGTCAACATGTCAGCAATGCTGCCGTCATAGGGGTGGTTAGGAGCAACATACAAGATAGAACTTTCCTTGATCTTCTAGGACCCTGGAAAAGCAGGCCTTTGGCCGAATTTCCATTTGGAGCCAAGATCAACATCAAGAAGGACCCGGGTTTTGCGGGTCCTGGGAAGGCCAAGGTTGGATGTAGGCGCCCCTGAGTTGGTTTTGCTCAGCTCTGAGTCCAGTCCCTGAGGTGACCTCATTGATAGTAGCGCTGAGCTATGAGATCTTCAAGTCAGACTTCGCCCGGATGTTCACCGAGGAGCCGCGCCAGAAAAAACCTTGCGAGTGAATTCTTTTGGTCCAAGTGGGGGTCCGCAGGGAGCTCTGAACAGATGTCCTTCAATGGACAAGGAACCTTTCTTCCAGTGGCCCTGGAAACAGGTGATGTGTTAGTGGAAGGAAGGGCAGTTGTAAGGCGGCGTCTGACATGTCCTCCGTTTTGCTCGGGGCTGAGATGCCTGAGACGGAGCCACTACGGCCAGCCACAAAACCACGAACCCTTTTCGCGGGGTTCCTTCCGGACTGGCCCATGGTCGGTTCCTTCAGGGTACCCAAATCTCTGACTCCTGACCATAGCAAAGTCCTTGAGTCTTTGGCTTTAGGGAACTCATGTATGCGTGCCATAAGCATGTGTTTATGTTTTGTGCAGGAGGCGAAGCCTCTGTCATGTGCCATGCCAGCGCGCACCAACCAATGTGGGATGGAGCGCGTTGCTTTAGCCAGTTGCAATGTGAGAGGGTGCGAGAGGGTTCTGAAAGGCTAAAGTTCAGGACGAACGATCCCTCTTCTTTTACCGGGGACGTGGCAAGGGTTGGAGCTTCCTTGTTCCCCTCCTGACTATAGCGCCCTCCCCCATCCTCCAAGTGCCTGGTCGTTCAAAAAAAGGGTTTGGACCCTTCTGTGACCCCCTTAGAAAGGGAAACTGTGTGGATTAGTAACTTGTTTTTTACAATCCTCTTGCAAAGTGCTCTGCAACACACCTTTTCAAAGGGAGTTCGATATGTTCCAACAATGAATTGCCCGTCTTATTTGCCCAGCGGAGCATCGGTCTACTCGGGGAAGAGGGGCAGGTGAGTGCCAGGGCGAACAAAAACCCGTCGGCCTATCCCAGGGGGTCAGTTCCAAGCATAACTGGAGGATCAAAGAATCCGTGATCTGCAATCCCCTCTAATAACAGCAGGAAACCAGCCAACCCCCCCCCCCCCAGTCCAGCAACGCAAACATGAATGGGACATCAACTTAAAAAAACAAATCAGGGTTGATCCATATTCCTGAGCCCCCAAAATGATATCATGGTCTCTTTGCCCATGTCGTGAACGTCAAAGCACTTCTTTGGGGTGGTTTCTCTAGTGACCCCCACTCGGACCATCGGACGTGACCGATCGCCCAAGACTCCGTTTGGTTCAGGACTCCCGGGTTGCGGGAGGGGGTTTCTCCAACCACTTCCGCGATATCTTCGAATCTCCAATCTCCCCCTTTTTTTTGGGGGGGGGGATTCGAATCTCCCCCTGTTTTATTTGGGAGGGGGGGGAGATATCTTCGGATTCGAACCACCCCCCTTTTTTTAGGCGGGGGTAGAGTCTTTGGGCTTCGGCACAGTTTGGTCTGCGAGGACGAGAAAGTCCAGGAGCTGCTGGAGACCAGCTCCCTGGGGCTGGTGCTCAGTGTGCCCGCCTACGCCCTGCTCATGACCTTCTACGGCGCCACGCCTCGCAAAACGTTGCGCGCGTGGCGCGCATGGCGCAGCGCGGGGTTCCTGGGGGCAACAACGGGGTGAGTGAGTCCACCTGAGCCACTTGCTCAAAACCAGGGTGGATGAAGGTTAGTTAGCGACAATCCCAACCATAAATAGCTGCGGCCGCCTTCTTAATTCTTGAAGCATGGTTCTGGGTCGACCATTTTACTGCCGAGTTTTGATTATGACTCACCTGAAGGAGCTTCATTTCAAGATGTTTTGAAGATGTTTGGCTGATTGAGCCCCTGTTAGGTGTTTGACCGTTGCGGTTTCTATCCAGTTTGGGTTGCAACCATTTCGACTTTGTGTCATGCTGGTGTTTGATCAACCTCAAGTTTCAACCATTTTCATTTTGGGTTTCAACCATTTTGGGTTTCAACCATTTTGACTCCAACCAGTTTGGTTGTTCAATGTTTTGTCAACGTTCCAGTTCCAGAAGGCCCGAAGCTAGAATCACCGGACCTGGAGAGGACGTTTGGAGACCCCTTTTTCAGCTTGGGATGTCTCTCTGATTCGAACCTTCCCGAGTGCCACATGGGTGTTTCGCGGCAATGGCACCAGCCAAAAGGCTTCCTCCATGATGGATCACCGATTTTGGTCAGCCGCGGAAGCCCTTAATCGCGTCCATTTGGCCTATGTTTGAAGAGTGATGTCGTCAGAAGGGCAAACCCTGTCATCTTGCATACTCGCACTTTCATCTATGCCAAGCGAATAGGCAACCAATTATTATATATATATATATTATGTACAAATTTATATAATATAATCATATATATATATATATACATATGCTTGCCGCTTCTTTGGTTACCTGCACGTTCCAGCGGATTTGGCGGGCATGTATATTTCTTTGACTTCGCTTGCTTTGGTCCGAAGGGCACCCAAAGACTTCAGAGTTCCATTTTGTCCCGTGGACCCATTCGCAAGTCATCAAGCCAGTTGTTCATTCTCAGGTCAAAGCCAATCTTTCAAACTTCAACATGTTTTGTGGGCCAAGGTATTAGTATTATGTATCTGATGAACTTATGGTGGGTGGCAAAGCTCGTCTTTTTGTTTCAGGAGTTTGGCTCAGCGGCAATTTGTTTCCGCTGTTTGTCCTGTTTGTTCGTTCTGGCAACCGATGGAGTTGAACCTGGGATGAGGTTTCGATCCGCTTTTGACTCAAACAAAAGACAACCTGGAACATCGGGACGCGGCCGATATGGGCTTTCTTCGGTGGAAACTACACCCCCTGCTTTCTTGACTGTTCGCATGTTGGTCAGGCCATGGAATCCATGGGCGGACATGTCCCCAACTGGGAAAGGTGTCCGTCTCAGGTGCGCTGCGGGGAGCCAACTTCCAGAGGCGCAAGGGTTGCGCCAGCATAGCGGTCCTTTTAGGTCAGCTCTGTTGAGAAATGTGTTTTTTTGTTGGGCTTCGAAAATTTACCGGCGCCATCGTTTGTTTGTTTTTTTGGGGAGATTCGTGTGGGCCTAGTGCATTCCAAGTAGCTCCTGGTTCCTCCATGCAATCTATGTCGGACTGTTTTTGTATGTTGCATCTTTGGTAAGACCTCGGCTTTTGAAATCTTTGGGAGATTCCTTTGATCCTGAAGAAAGGTGGCTGATTCTTGGCTGGGTAGAAGCGGACCTTTTGCAGGGACCCCTTTTGTCTGTTGCCTTCCTGTGATTTGCGGGGGGCCAAGCTGGACAGTTTGGCATTCTTTGGCTGTCTCAACCACTGGCCTCCAGCCCCATGGATTTTCTCGGGGCATCGAGGACAAATCCTTGTGCACTTGGATAAATCTGACAGAAAGGGTGCTTCAATCGTTGCCTGAGTTTGTTGTTGCGTGTGTGGGGCTGCTGCTTTGCTTGCTTGTATGTTTGGGTGTGTGTGTGCTTGCTTGATTGCTTGACAAGCTTGCTTCCTTGCTTCCTTCCTTGCTTCCTTGCTTGCTTCCTTGCTTGTCTGCCTGCCTGCCTGCCTGACCTTGATTTGATGCGTTTGTTTGTATGTTTGCTTGGGTTGGTTTGATTTGCTTTGGTATGAGTTAGTTTGTCTGTATGTTTGTTTGGGAGAAAGTCATGTTTGCTTGTTTGTTTGTTTGTTGTTTGTGTTTTTGTCTGCCTGCCTGCCTGTCTGTCTGTTTGTCCGTCTGTCTGTCTGTCTGTTTCCTGCCTGGCTGGCTGGCTGGCTAGCTGGCGCTCTGTTTGTCTGCCAGTCTGTTTGTCGGTTCGGTCGGTTTATCTGTCTATCTGGCTGGCCGTCTGTCTGTCTGCCTGTCTGCGTGTTTGTCTGCTGTTTGTTTGTGTTGATTGTATGCTGCTCGTTTCGGGTGCCTGGCATTGATTCGCAGGCCTGGCATCATGGGCACAGTGGTGGGATATTGGGCGCCTCCCTCAGATTTGAAACCACTGCCGGAAACGCCAGCGTGGGGAGTTGATTTTGCAAGGATGTCACGGCCACGCGTCTCGTTTGTGAGGGCTCCCTTTTAAACAAGTTGCTTGTTTCATATGAAAATAATGTTGTTGGGACCTCCCATTGCAGGGTTTCCTCAAGTAGATGCAAACCTAAGTCATACTGTTAGGACCAAACAAGGGCCACACATTTCCAAGCGCAAACTTGGCAATGGGTTTTCTACTCTTCTCTGTTTTTCTTACTGTGCTTATATAGTGTTTTCTTTGTTTTTGCACATGTTTAGTCGGGGGGGTGGCTGCAAAGAACACAGTGTTTTGCCAATCTACCGCTCATTGGGAAGCACTTGCTTTATGTTAAAACCCTCTAGGCCCCGTGCCGAAATTGGGTAGCTGTTCTGAGGTCCTTGTTGGTGTTGCTTCCCAAGTTCCATTGATCGCCATTTGGCTCAAGACACAATTGAGGTTCAAGATCTGATGTGTGACTGCGAACATTCGTGACGGGCGATAAGAGCAAAACATCTGCTTGCGCTGCATTGTCAGGACTACTGGTGTAACTATCATTCCTTCTTCCTTACAACGTTTACACGGGTTCGGCTATAACGGCATCGTCCGTATACACCTTTCTACGTGGTTGGTATTAAAGCTTGAGGGTTCGGTGCACAGCGTCCCACGGGACGTCACCTTGCCGTCTCTTGACAGGTTATCAGCCGTAACTACAAGCTCTACACTGGACTGGGAGACAGCTGGTTTATTGCGGGTACAGGGACAATAAAGGAACGATAACCTACACAGTACAATGGCGTCTTCGGCGAGCCCAAGTACTGCAACTTTTGGGAACAGCAGCTCAGAGGGATCCAATGGATTGATGGCTCTTCCTGCGGTGATGGATATGGTTGCAGATTCACAGGATGAACCTGGGAGCGGAGGTTCCGCGCTATTCAGCGACATATCTACTCCCACAAGATCATGGAAGCAGATCGATGTTCATCAGGAGTCGAAGAAAAGAGAAACCCCACCGAGAAGATCATCATCTTCGCCTGCGACGCCACGGACGTCGCAGAAGGGCGTGAGATCGACATCGAAGGGTGGGAGGTCAAAATCACCCACCAGTGCGGATTTTCGCGCCGTGATCAAAGAGAAGAATAAGATGGAGGTGGAGATCGGGGAATATCAGAAGACACTTGATGAAATGTCGGCAGCAATGGCGAATCTTAATCAAGAAGACTATGGAAGCACCATCCGGATCCAGGAGCTGGAAAGACGATGCGAGATTGCCAGCAAGCAATCGGGACATCTAGTGAGTCACCACCAACACCACATGGCTGAGGCATGGCGCAAGTTTGAGGAAGAAGCCCAACAGATGCGCAAGGTGGAAATGAACGCATTTCAGCACGGGGAGAAGAAAGACATGGAGTCGAATATTATAATGCAACAGATGAGGCAAGCTGAAGGAACTATCATGGAGCAGAAGCGGGAGATTGCATTGATGAGATCCTACATGGCAAGCGAGAAGTCGGCCGCGCAGGAATCAGCTATACGTGCAAATCAGATACACCGTGAGGCTTCACAACAGATATCAGCTTATCAGCAACAGATCAGAGGCATAGAATCTTCTACATCTATCGAGAAGTTCAACGAGGAGGAGATGGTCCAAAGTCTGAAATCACAGTTGGAGCATGCACTCGTCAAGCGCCCCGAGACGTACTCTTTGGAGGACTCCAGGGAACAGCTGATGGCGAGGCTGAATGACGTTACAGTATTTGCGGAACAGGAATCGAAGAGAGCAGATTGCTTGCTTCGCGAAAAAGAAGAGATCGTCAAACAGTATGAGTCCGACGTGTCGATGAAGGACCAGATGATTGCTGTCGAAGGTGGTCATCGTCAGGATGCGATCTTGGAGTTAGCCCAGGTCAAAGAAGAGAAACAAGAGGAACGGTGCACGATGGACGAGAAGTCGAAGGAGGCTGAGTACTGGAGATTGACAGCTAAGGGAATGTACGATGAGTACCTCGAGGAGATGCATGAGCTTCAGAGACAACTGAAGGAAAGAGAGGCGACGCTCAAGCAAGAAGAGAGTTTTGTACGCCAACTCGATGCTGACAACGAGGAACTACGTGCACACAAGAAGCTGGAGACACAGGAAGCCTCCAGCAGCAAAGATGGACATCGTGAACGAGCAGTAGTGAAACGCGCTGAGGGAGGAACCCAGGCTAATTCAAATAGGATAGACAAGAAGGTGGCTGGGTCAGTCCCGTCATCGTCTTCAAATCAAATCCCTAATTCGTCGCTGATGCCAGGTTCGATCCTCTTTCCGTCTTTCGGTGATCCAATGATCGATGTACACCTATCCCAGATGCAAGGGGTTGTTGGGCATGTCCCACAATCCACTACTACGACTGGTGGTGGTGATGGAGGGGGAAACAACGGTACTACGCCCCCATTGGATTACGGTGGATTCCCGCCCAATGGGAATGGGCAGGGAGCGGGTCGACGTCAGTCGAGACTCACTGGTGGCGGAGGAGGACCTCCGGATGATCCACCCGATGATGAGGATGAGGATGACGACGACGAAGGAGATGAGGAAGACGAGGAAGAAGAAGAGGAAGAAGACGATCGGACACGAAGGAGACGAAGGAGATCGAGAGATAACCGAGAGATCAAGAATGATCGACCGAGAATCTCGAGGAAAGAGGCCGAGAGAGTATCTATTCCGGCCTGGCCAAAGATCCATCAACTTGACACCTGGAAGATGCAACTGCTGATGAATGTTCTGAGCGCATGTGCAGATCCAGATACCGACACATGGACGAAATGGCTGGAGCAGGCTCTTGGGTTGAACCCAGACCTGGATTTGCTTAGCGATTCAGGTGGCGACAGATTTGCTACGATAGATATTAAGATGGCCATGGGCATGCAGAACATGCTGAAACAAGCACCTGACGAAGCCAAGGACGTATACCTCGATGCTACACGACACTCTGAACTACGACATCAACAAGGGGTGATCGTGAAGGGACGAGAGTTGGTGGCATTAGTTATGCAATCATTCAGAACTTCCGACAGAACGGATCTTGTCTACCACATCGAGCATTTATTCAACCTCGACTTTCCTGGCGACAAGAACTTGGTCATGTTCAGGAACAAATGGTATGATTTGCTGCTAAAGATGAGGAGCGAGGACAGACCCAGTAAGCTGGCTCTCAGAGACATCCTTTACAGGAAGATCAAAGGGAGCAAGAAGATGGAGTTCGGCCTCAATGCCTACCATAGACTACCGGACAAGCATCCTCAGAAGACGTATGAATTCTTATTGGCGTTGATCGACTATCAGATCAAGGCAGATCGGGAAGACCTGATGCTCGACATGAAGGAGAAATCGGTCAAGTCGATGATGAAGTCAGGCGGGAAGGATGCGGCTCCAGCAACTGGCAAACAGGAGAACCAGGGTGGCAAGGGCAGAAAGGGGAAACCCGGTGGACCTGATGCCGCTCCTGTGCTCCCAAAAGCCAAGGCAAAGGGCCACGCTGGCAAGAACGGCAAGTCCGACGGTGCCAGCGACAGAGGCAAGAGTCCGGGCGGAAGCAAGGATAACCCCTGCTGGTACCACTTCAAATCGGCGAAGGGGTGCGTGAAAGGGAATGAATGCACTTTTTCCCACAGCAAGAAGACGGAGCACAAGTTGGAGAGCATGTCCAAGGGGAAAGGAAAGGGCAAATCCAAGTCCAGATCATCGTCACCAAAGAGAGATGATGGAGCATGCTTCGCGTTTCAGAAGGGGAAGTGCGATAAGGGGAAGCGCTTGCAAGTATAGGCATGAGCTCATCAAGAACAATTCAGCTCCAGCAACGTCAAATGACAAGGCGCAAGCCAAGTCGAAGGCTGCCACCAAAGCCGCAGCGCCTGCCATTGCGAGGAGGGCCATCGCAATGCCTGCGATAGTCCTGAAACAATCGGCTCCTGCGGGGAAGGTAAGCTTCAAGAAGGACGTTGATCATGTCGAACCGGACGAAGCCGAGACTGTCTACCACGAGCACGATGACGACGCGATGAGCGAATCATCGAGATGGTCTGGCGAGTCCGAGATCCCCGAGAAAATGGTGTGGTTCAAGGAAGTGCTCGACGTCGACGAGAATGGGGAGATCACCTACCTCGAAGACGAGAGAAGGCAATGGGAACGAAAAGGGGAATGGTACGGTTATGAGGACAATGAGAATGAGCCTTATCAGTACGTGTACGTCGACGAGAAAAAGTTCAAAAGCAGTGATCATCGTGAATTATCAGCCTATCAAGTCCAACGATCATTGATACGTGCGAAGATACTGAGAGAAGTGGTGGATGATATATATAAGAAGCACTACTTCCCGGTGACCAAGGAGAGCAGCATAATGTTCGAGTATGATCGGAACAAGGACGAGATCAAGGAATCGGCTGTCGACTGGAAGAAACAGCATGGTATGCCGAAGAACGTTTTCGCCATGTCAACGTGCATCAGCAAACGGGTGAAATGGTTGATGGACACCGGATGTGGTCATGATCTCATCGGAAGAGCCAAGGCGAAGAGCCTGGGTGTCGACATCGTGAAAGATGACGACGAGATCGTGTTCCAGACCGCGAATGGTTCCACTTCCACATCTGATGTGGCCAAGATAGTCGTGGACGAGTTGGACGAGACTGTCGAGCCGCATGTATTGGATGAGACACCCACGGTATTGTCAGTGGGGAGGAGATGCATGAAGATGGGTTATGCATTTCACTGGATGCCTGGTAAACTACCTTTCATGGTTACGCCAAAGCAGGGATTCGTGCACTTGCAGGTCAAGGACGACATCCCGTACCTAGTGAGTGATGGTAAACTTCGGAGTAACAGGCATCGCCCCACGATTGACGACCTCAAGGAGCACTTTTCGGAAGTATTGGCGATGGTGACGAACGACGAGGCAGATCAGGAAGGTGACGATGAGAACGACGTCACA